GCCTGTCGTATTTAAAGTTTCAGCTGTAGCTAAATATCTTAGAGTCAATCTAAAGTAAATTTTTAATTTTATTCATATTTTAATAAATAACATTTTTTATCCATAACTTCCTGCAAAAAATTTTTTTTGTAATACTGGCAATAACCATATTTCAGTTTATAAGGTTATGTTAATTATATCATAATTTTAAAAATTAGATTATTGCATTTGACTAAATCTAATTAAAATATCGAATTCTAACGTGAAAATACAATAATGTAAAATACCTCTAATTAATATTATGATATTGTGTTATAATTCTAATAGTTACCTAACTAAATTTTGTTCTCGTAGTTGCAGACCATAAAAAAAAGAAGAAGATCTATTTTGTAATTAAACACCTACGGCACTGGCTCAAATCTAGGGATTTTTACTTTTATTTTCACCAATCGGTGTCATGACGTTTTGGTCACGTGGGTTTTCGGTATTGTTGAAGACCCAGTACATAGCAATGCTTATAATTTATGATACCTTAAACCATTCAATGTCAACAGAATCATACTCTTCATCGTCTTGCTCTTGCTTTATTCCTTCCCCTCCTCCACGCGTTCCCTTCCCCCTGTTTTTTCAACCCCTGTGTTGCTGTCTCGACAGCTATTTCGTCCTCCTCCCCTTCAACCCCTTCTGGGTCTCGATCCATCTCTAATTCTTCCGGGAAAATACCTTCATTTTTGTTATAATTAAAACACTGTGTCGACTGACACGAACCACAGACAGGCGGCGAGCATTTCAGTCCGGCTTTCAAACATGAACAATTCTTCTCGCATCCTGTCTTGCACTGACAAAAAATCACCTTCAAGAGTTCCGGGGGGGCGGATCCATAGCTGCAACAAGAGCTTTACAAAAATATATTATTGAAATGTAATAAGAATTATAAAAAATTTATAGACTTTATTTTAAATCAACCAAACCCTTTTTGTTCCCCACAAACGAAAAACAAATTCTTGAAAATTCAAGAATGACGTCGAATTTTTCACTTTAAAAACTTCTTTTTTTTTTTAACAACTTATTTGATAATGATAAAATACTATCAATATTTTTCTAAAATACTATCAATAATACCGACAATAACGACTACAAAAACAACAGAGATTGTATACCAACAAAAGCAGACGATTAAGGTGAGCGCGTGGCGCGTGGGTACACGTGGTTAGGTCATGATGGAATATCATGGATCTCAGGCGGAGAGCGTAAAAATGGGGGAGATAATTCTAACAAACAGTTAAAAACCACGCTCACATACGGGGATCAATTGATAGAAATGGAAATGTGAGAATATCAGCTTCACTTCGGTCTGGGTATTAATGTTCAAAAAATGAACAGCGGGGAACAAGAATTATTTAAAAAAAAAAGTCCGGTTTTCCCCGGTGTGATCAATTAAATACATTCGAAAATTAGACACTCTAAGCTTTAAAATGGTGTGCATTGAATAACAATATAATGAAATATGAGTTTTTAATTACTGCTTGTTTCAAAGATTTCTAGAACTGCAAAAACGTATGAAAAATGCAAATAAACAAATCAATTTTGTTTTAAAAAACGCCAGGAAGATACTGAAAAAAATTTCTGAAATCATTCGAGACATCTCAAGATCCCATTTAAAACAAAAATGGGATAAAAAACTATTAAAAGAAAAAAAATATGAATGAATTATTACAAAGTGGTCCAAAATAGTGGGAAAACGCAACTTTGACCCCTTTTTCAATATTCTTGACAGAAAATAACGGGCTTCAAGGCACATGGATCGATACCTATGGGTTTTCCTATTGTAATGAACTTTGAATCATCGAAAAATATCAATTTTTGACCGAGTTCTGAAACAATTTGTCCACCCGTTTACAAGCTAATCAACATTGCTATAGAGATAACGCAGGGGCTGAACGAGGGGACTTTTGATTGCGGTTATCTCGAAACCTGTCGAATTCCCGACAAAAATGATAGGGGCCATTTTTGTAGATAATGATAAGATCTTTCTCTTTTATCTGAACAAAAATTCTCTAATTTGCATATTGTTGAAGATATTGGCGGGAAACCAGTTTTAGGGTCCATTTTGGACCCTTTCCGACGCAGCAGAGTTGGTAAAAGTTTTCGACCTTGGAAGCGACCGCCGAGACCTAAGAGTTGAGCCACAACGGAAATCTGGACCGACTTAATGTCAAGTTAGTCCCTTCAGTTACTGGACTATTGGTCAACGTACTTATTGTTTCTAATATTTTCTTAGAGCATTCTAAGAACATTTAGGTCAAATTATTATAAGTAAAATCGAGCATTTTGTAGAAAACATTTTTGAATAAAATATAGTTTAGGTCTATATTGAATTTAAAATTTTCCCGTCATATTTTGCCCAAATCTACCAATTCTTTGCCCTTGTTGGCAGAAATTTTCATGATGTTAAATATAGCATATATATCTTATCTATAGTCTATTTTCATGTATAAGAGAGTATTAAAATAATATGCGTTCGTAATCCATAGGCGTAGCACTTCTTTTAGTAGACAGTTAAAATATTTTTTGAAGTTATTCCTCGAGTATACACTTATATTTTCACCTAATTAACCTGCTTATAACTTCTAAACAGCTGAAGGTAAAAAAGTGCAATTTTTTCTAAAATGTTTTATTTTTTCACAAGGTATGTTAAGAACATTGTGTCAAACGGGTTATGTAGGTATAAGGGTTTAAACTTTGACTTTTAAACAACGTTACGTTCATAAATAATAATTTTAATATAAAAACTACTTCTTACCTACAAATCCAAATCAGAATCGAAATCAGAAGATGAACTGTCGCAACCAATATTTACAATGAGTGACTCGATCATTTCATCAGTAATATTGTCCAACTTCCACATTTTCTCTTCTTCTTCTTCTTCTTCTTCTTCTTCTTCTTCTTCTTCTTCTTCTTCTTCTTCTTCTTCTTCTTCTTCTTCTTCTTCTTCTTCTTCTTCTTCTTCTTCTTCTTCTTCTTCTTCTTCTTCTTCTTCTTCTTCTTCTTCTTCTTCTTCTTCTTCTTCTTCTTCTTCTTCTTCTTCTTCTTTTTCTTCTTCTTCTTCTTTAATCGTATGATTTACTGCCTTTTCCCAGTTTTCAGGCTTCACATTATTTACAGCCTCCAAAAACAACTGTTTAACATCACTCATTTTAAATGAATTATTTTTTCTTGAAACTTCTCACTTTATCTGTGCCCATATCAGTTCAATCGGGTTTACTTCGCAATGATATGGTGGTGATCTAACCACCGTCATCCCACGATTTTTTGCAATTTCATCAATTTCGTATTTTTTGAATTTCTCTTTATGAAGGGAACACAAATGATACAGTTTTTTTCTCACAGAACCGGGATGGAACTTAATATTCTTTGAATTTAGCCAATTCTGTAAACCTTTTTTTAACCACTTGGTTGTGGGCATTTTTTCTATAAGTCTCGAGTGATAACTTGCATTATCCATTACTATTATACAGTTCTGAGGAAGAAGATCTATAATTTGTTCGAACCACTCTTTAAAGACATCAGCATTCATGTCCTCAGGGTAGTCATCGGTACGAGTAGATTCAAAGGTCAATAAACCACCTTTAACAAAACCGTTTGAACTACCGATGTGTACTATTATTAGTCTGCGCCCCCTTTCCTGATGGTGGATTTAAACCAGTAGATAAATTATTTAAAAAAGCCTGTCTTCGACTTGTAACAGTTTCATCTTGCCAAAATTTATTTGGTTTATGTCCCTCGTTGATCCATGTTTCATCTAAATAAAATATATTTCTTCTTTGGTTTCTCATTTCTTTTATAGTCCTTAGGTAATTTCTTCTCCATACTACAATATCGCTTCTTTCTATTAAAATAGACTTTCTGGAATGCGTTTTCCATAGAAAACCTATTTCTTTTAAAAGTTTCCATAGTGTGCTTCGACTGATATCAGGGTAATCCTTATCATCTCGAACCGTGGCAAGAACTTTGTCTACTGTCAGAAATTCTTTTCTAAAGAAGAACGCATTCACTTTCCTTCGAAGTCTTTCTTTCAAAAGATTTTCTAATTGAAATTTTGGTTTTCCTGGAGCTTTACGTGCTGTTTGAAACTCGCCACATTTCTCTTCTTTAACAACTCTGTAAATCGTAGATTTCCCAACACCAACCGTACTACTAACTAATTCCACTGTGTCATCAACACTTTTACATAAATGTTTGTCTGTAAATGATTTAAAACAATTAAATATTAATTTTTTTTCATTAACTGTTAAAGGACCGATTTTTTGTCGTTTACGCGGCCCTTCTAAATTTTCCATGATCACACTAGAATTCACACTGCATCTTGCAAGTTGCAACTAAACGACATTTAGTAAACTGTCAAGAATACACAACTTGGACCTCCTTACTAAATGGAAAACCTATAATCGCATTTTCGGTGAAATTTGTTGGGAAGATATTTATCTACTTATAATTTGATTTCTGTAAGAAATTCTTGGAATTAAAATAAAACAAAATTGGCAAATAGGTACTTATTGAAAATAATCTTAAGATACGGCTATGCAATCTTTAATACACAGGGCTTTTGGCCTGTCCAAACCTTTTTCTATTGTTCTGTACAGCTTATGTTTATAATGGACCAATAAAAGAACCAAAACTTGTAATAGCTCAGGTACATTTATTACAATTTTAGGAAATATTTAGATTATTCTGCAAAAATATTTAAAATGACCGTACTAAGTTTTGCATTAGAAATGCTGTTTTATTACTCTCTCATACATAAAAATAGACTATAGTGAATATTACAAGATCAGTGGATTGTACTCTATAAAGAAATATGCATTAACATTGCATTTACATTGAAATTCAATTTCAATTATTACGGTAAACTTTTTCGACCCGACCGCTGCTGCGGTATATAAAACGTAATTCTATGCAACAAAAAGGAAAAACTGTTTCTCTTATTGAATTTTTTGCTAATAACAAATTCAAATGGAAAAGCGGTACCACCAAAGCATAAAGATTATTATTAATAAACACAATGGAATCATAAACAAAAAGATCTATTCTATACAGTTATGAATCCCACTCATTTTTATGTAGACGTGACGGTCCGACGTGGTACTGTTATTTCTATTAAACAAGACATTAAAGACATTATGGTTCTTTGACGGAAATGTCTGTCTTGCGGTATTTGATAAACTAAATAAATCAAATTATGGATTAGGGTTCTTAAAGGATGGGCGAGAAAGGTCGTAGGATGACGCCTTGTAGGCGTTGTATCAACTATTGTTTCGGGCAAATTTTAAACTTTCTACAGGGTCTTCAATTATACCTGTATCCCACGTGATCTAATGATATCAAAAATATGTCACTGAAGTTCCTCTGGGATTGGTAATATTAATAAATTTTTATTCAATTCTTTAATTAGTTATTTTTAAATATAAAAACATTTTTTTCAATTTTATATATTTTAATTTTCGATATAATTCGCAACAATTGTAATTCTAACAATTGAATCCATTTGGAGAGAAATTACAATAATCAACCTTAGAAGCGCCGTTGAGGTTGATTCCACTCCAGCTCCAATTGTTGCAACCTCCAGCTCCACATAGAATGTACACTCTTTGGGAATTGGAACCACTCAAAGTACCATAAATGTTCTGCATAGTAAGCTCCTTGATTTTGATATTGCCTAAGGGTTTGTGGGTGTCACCATCGTTTGTGTAGTCTTGTTGTACATTGATACCGTAATATGCAATACCTACAAATGAGGGAATTAAACAAAAGCTAAAAGGAGACATAATAACAAAACTAAATCAGAAAAGGAAAAACTTACAGTTAGATGATTATGACATTTTTGTAGTAGGAGAGAAAAGGGGACATGAAAGATCTCGATTGGAATGACTGAAGGAAATGCAAGAAGATCTACCCAGGGGGTAGAGGAAAATGCAGAAACATTGTAAAGAGTATTAGCTAAGAGTCTGGTATACCTTAATATAAACTATTTTACCTGAAAGTTGTATATTTTTATAAGTGACAGCTGAAATCTCTCCCGTTTGAGGTCCAGCAATGGACTTGACGTGTATACCAAGTCTTGAATTATGAACAGCAGAATTTTGGAAAGTAACGTTGTGAACAGTATTGAGAGCGTAAGTATTATACACACCAACTGCAATACTTAAACCATGTCCTCCTGTGCATTGCATGTTGTCAAAAAGAAGATGTTGACCCTGGTTGACGCAGATGCAGTCATCTTGGTTCCAAACGCTGGTGTCTTTGATAGTTACTTTGTACGATTTTGCAACATCGAAACCATCGGTGTTAGCTCCTCCTTGCTATATAAAAATATTATGTATTATTTAAAAATCAACCAAGAATTATGGGGTACAAGTTGAAGAATTGAAGAAAACAACTCTAGTTTCCAATATTAATGGATAACATGTTTCCTTTCACCAGTGATCAACCAAACGGAGTCCTGAGCCTTCAGAAGTGAAGATTGTTCAAGGAAAAGTCCCAAATTTACTTCAATATGATATCTGATGTAATAGAAATAAAAAAATAGTAGATACAATAAAAATACAGGATAAAATAGAATAATTTTACAAATATTTCGTTACTATTTCTATTTAAGTAAGTTACTGACTTATAAAATTGATGAGTCCAGGAATATTATTTTTCATGTTCCTCGATTATCTGCAAAGTCTGCAAGCATTTTTTTACCTTCCAATGTCTAAAATAAATTAACTAACTTGGGTGCCATAGCATCACGGGATCGAGAGCAATAAAAAGGCCGACAAACTTGCAGAAAGAGGGTTTAGAACAGTGGTCGTCAACATGTCGATCGCGAGCTACCGGTAGCTCGCGGAGGCAATTCTGGTAGCTCTCACAACGATTTTAATTTAAAAAATACAAACTGCAAAAATCAGAGAAGCTTCCGAAAATTCCACAAAAAAATCTAATTGTCATAATATTAAACATAAACAGCGGCAACGTTGCGGTGAGCGATCTGCCGCTGACGCCATCAAGCTAGAATCGGCTAGAACCGACCAGCCGGACCAGCGCGTTAGTGTTCGAGAACGATCAGGATTGCTTTGAACGGGATAAATACGCACGGCGCGGCGACAGTGTGGCCAGATTGGGCGCTATCGCGCAAATTGGGCTCTTTTCAGCAGTCATTTGCGCCGGAAAAAATCTGAAAAGCGCAAAGCGCAAATTGGGCGCTTTTATTGAACCGCACTGCGCCGCAGACTGGAATATTTTTATTCATATTTTTCCATCCATATCTAAAATTCGAAGTTAGACAGAAAACCGTGAGGGTTTCAAAAAGTTGCAAAGACACGTAAGCCGTAACAGTAGGCGGAACTGTATTGCTAATGCTATGTGGCTAAATGTCAAAGGAAAACGGATCGGTACAGAAAAGAAGACTTCTTGACAGCTTAACCTTACTTAATTTACGTTTGCTTGTCAAATATGTTAGCGTCTTTTTATGTAGCAAATATGACGTCATTTGGATGAAATTCCCAATTAGCAGATAGTATACTTTTTTAAAAATGAAGTAACCTTTTTCATTTTCTCCATAATAATATAATTACAAATACTGTAATAAAAAAATCGCGTTTCGCATTTTAATTGCCCATTTTGGACACTTGCGCTTTTGGGCGCTTTTCCACAACTGAACTTGCGCCTTAGGTTTTTAAAATCTGGCAACACTGCGCGGCGAAATTGCGCTTAGTTTAAAACTGAACGCGTAACCAACGTCCAGCGGTTGGGTTAGTAGAGAACAACAAAAAATAATATTATGGCAAGCAGTTGTAAGAAGGTAAAGACATACCACTTTCATTCGGAATGGGAAGAACAATACTTTTTTACAGAAGTTAAAGATAAAAATGTGTGTTGGTTATGTAATACTTCGGTCTCCGTTGCTAAAAAAGGAAATATTGAGAGACATCATAAAACTGTACATTCTAATTTTGAAGAATCATTCCCACTACATTCTGCCGCCAGAAATGAGAAACTGAAACAGTTAAAAAAGCAGTTAATTGGACAACAATCAATATTTTTTAAACAGTCAACAAAAATAAGGCTGCAACTGAAGCATCGTACCGTGTGTCCCAGATAATTGCACAAAAAAAGAAACCTTATGAAGACGGGAAAATGATAAAACAGGCGTTTTTAGAAGCTGCTGATTCGTTATTTGCCAACTTTAGAAATAAAGACGAGATAGTTTCAGCTATAAAATCTATGCAACTTTCTGCTAATACAGTGATGAGACGTGTAGAAGTAATGAGCAATGATATTTTTTTACAGTTAAGAACTGACTTAGATAACTGTGTTTATTTTTCACTTCAACTGGATGAATCAACAGATGTCGTTGACACTGCCCAGATGGCTGTGTTCGTCAGGATGGTTTTTAGTGATTTTACGATTAAAGAAGATCTTTTGAAGTTTATTCCACTGAAAGGACACACTACTGAACAGGAGTTGTTTTCTCATTTAAAAAATATTATTTCTTCCGAGAAAATTCCAATATCGAAAATGGTAGGCTTGACAACCGATGGCGCTCCAGCTATGGTGGGTTGTGATAAGGGTCTGGTGGCGTTATGTCGTAAAGATGAAACTTTTCCGCAATTTCTCTGTTACTACTGCATTATCCATCAGCAAGCTTTATGTGGAAATTTCCTGAAACTAAACAACGTTATGAAACTGGTGGTAAAAATTGTGAACAAGATTAGAGCTCAAGCGTTACAAAGAAGATTATTCAAAACCTTGGCCGATGAAGTTGACTGTCAATACGGGGACCTACTCCTTCACTCTGAAGTCCGATGGTTAAGTAGAGGACGGGTGCTGAAACGTTTTAATGATGTCCTATCTGGCATATTTCAATTTTTCAAACAACGCGATGAACCGACTCCGGAACTAGAAAATTCAATCTGGCTTAGAGATTTTGCTTTTCTCGTGGACATTACAGAGAAATTAAACGAACTTAATTTGCAGCATCAGGGGAGAGACAAAGAACTAGCGGAAATGATTTCTGATATAAAAGCATTTATCAAAAAGCTGGAGTTTTGGGAACAAAACCTAATTAATAGCGAAGCCAAGCATTTTCCTATTCTTTCAGAAAAAATATCTCAAAATCCATTAGAACCCTATGACAGCAAATATCATGTAGAAATAGTTTCTACCCTGAAGAATAACTTCAAAAATCGTTTTAAGGATTTCAACGAAATGGCTTTAGTAGCGCAGTTTGTTGTTTCACCCTTTATGGAAATTAATATCCAACAGTTTGCAACTTGTGTTATGCAGAACTTTGGCGAAGACATCGCAGCAACAGAAATGGAAGTAATTGAGTTTCAAAATGATTTAGCCTTAAAATCGTTAGTCTCAAGTACCAAATGTATCTGGCCTATTGTAACTAAAGGCAAATATTCAGTTCTATGCCGTGTTGCCTTGAAAGTGAAAGCATTATTCAGTTCAACCTATTTGTGTGAATCTTCTTTTTCCAATATGAAGTTTATTAAGAACAAATATCGCAATCGACTTACAGATGAACATTTGGATAATAATTGTATTCGAATGGCTGTATCAAATTATACTGCAAACATTAAAAAAATTATCGATGAGTCTGAGTTTCAGCCTTGTCATTGAACGTGCTTTTTTATTTTTCAATGTTTATGTTCATGATAGTGCGTTACTTTTTTGTTGTTATTATTAACTATTTTTAAATCTTACGTAACATGCCGTTGTGGCTGGATAAAAGTTTGTGTTTATTTTTCAAACACCTTCGTTTGGTAGGTAGGAATGTAGCTATGAACAAGTACGTACTAGTAGTATTAGTTATTTTGTTATTAGTTTATTATTAGTACCTATGTATTATGTATTACCAGTTAATTAGTAAAATAAATACATGTTATGATAAATTAACTGTGGATTATTTCATTTACGTTGCGTTACGTGGCTTCCGTGTGGGTAGCTCGCTGTTTATTCCAAAATTAACAAAGTAGCTCAACACATTGAGAGGTTGGCGACCACTGGTTTAAAAGATATAAACTTTAGAATACCAAAATGTACACTTCGAGGTTTCATAAAAGACTGGATTTGGAGAATATCCCAAAAATATTTATAGGAAGACCATGTTCAAACAAAATAGCAAAACTACACTATATAAATAGGGCATGTCCCAGTAAAGGAACCGTCTATTTTGTCGACTTTATTACAAGGAACAAATAGCCATAATCATAATGTGCAACTGCGAAACAGTATCACAAAATACAAGCTCTTTTTGAACAACCACAGATTGATCCAAAAACATGTAGAACACATCCTGTCGAGGACTTTTACGAACTTGTACAAGATAAATGTTACAGAGTCCAAACAGTTTAGGTACGCAGAATGCTTTTCAAATTAATCCTTTAACCAATTACTTACTGTGTCTCCATCTTTAGAATCTATATTCCAGTTTTGCAAAGTTAAGTCATGCGAATCGGAAATTCCAATACAAGTGTGTGGGCAATTTTTAACTTTGATATTCTTGAACACTGAGCCACCAGTGGCTTGAATGAGCATAAATTGAGGCTTCTTTTTTTGGCTGTGATCACCATGTCCGTCCCACCATTTCTCTCCTCTTCCGTTCAACAAATGACCTGAAATATTTTGAAAAGGTAATTATTAATTAGAATTAAAATATAACAAGGTTCAGTTTTATGACCATTGCTATTTACAATCTATATAAATAGCTAACACTCAGAATTATTTATTAAGAAATGTTTCTTACTTGATGATCCTTGTACTGTAATACTGTTTCCAGTGATCCACATTAATGGACCAGTCCATTGTGTATAACCAAAACTAATTTCGCCGTTAAAGGTTAAAGTCGTACCAGATTGAAGAGCAAGTTTTAAAGTTTGTCCAGGCGGTACAGCAAAACTGCCTACATATATATTTTTACAATTGGCAGTAACTGAAGCTACGTCTACGTATCTGTTAATGTTACAGCCACTGTAATTGTCTGAAGCTGAAATATACAATTATATAACTAATAAAAAATTCTTAAGTCAATAAAATATTAAGAGGAAAATTTACATTACAAACTAAAAGACCTGCGGGGCAACGGTAGTTTAGTAGGTATAAAAATTACAACTTAAGGGTGCCTAAATACTATAAAATTACTTCCGAGATCAAACAAAATCAGCATTCATTCATAATTTTAACAATTGCATGTAGATACGAGGGATGCATATTCTAAACTTTAACGCGCGAAGTTGAAGACAAAGGAATCGAAAAATATTCCACAATAGCACAAAATAATATTACCTATGTATTTTACAATATAAGTATGGTCATTGAGTAAACGAAGTTATATTTTTTTACTCAATGGTATGGTGTAGATTAAAACTTATTTTGGCTGTCGACTAATTTGGTTAAAAAATCTTCTTTTATAAATATACCTTTCATTTGATGAAAAACGAAGACCTAAACGAAAAAAAAATATTCTTCATAAAAGTTTCGCCTGTGTATTGCTATGAAATTAACAAAAATATAGCAATAAACAATTACTGATGTCATGGTTTTACAGGAAAGGAAGCAGTCTCTTGACTGTATGCGTCTCTCTCAGGGATGAAATGTATGCAATCTGTTTGACCCTCTTACATTATTTTAAATAGGTATTATTGATTTATCCGCTATGAAGGCGAATAATGTTTTATAGGGTGTATTACTTCATGATTATTTTTTGAGAAAAATAAAAAAGTAAAATATAAACTATTTATGGAAGGTATAAGCACAGTATATACACCGTGTCCCACGTAAGGCGGGCATTACAACTTTATGGAGAATAAATTAATTTGTATTTTCGCCATTTTCTGAGTATACATAATCGAATATGCTCTTTTGAATTAAAATAAAATGAACTCTGTGCAACTTCCGGTTATACCGGAAGTGACCACTAACTTCGTTATTTTAAAGGGAATACCCCATATTTTTTTTTAATTTTAGATTCAGCATGAAATTCTGTAAACAACGATACCCCATTTGCCTATTCTAGTTATAGCGGATTTGGCGTTATTCAATTTTTTCTACATTTTTAGTCGCCGGTAGACATTTTCTTAAAGTCGTCTATCTCAGGTACTATATCTATCAGATACTTAAAATTTTAACCAGAGGTAGTAGATGGGATGTACTTCTTGAGAATATTTAGTTATTCATTATTTGTTGTACGGGGTATTTGCAAATTATTTTTAAAAATGAAATTTTTTAAACATAAAAAACTTTTTTATTTTAAAGGGAACACCCTATATATATTTTAAATTTAGGATTCAGCATGAAATTCTGTAAACAATGATACCATATTTGCCTATTCTAATTATAGCGGATTTGGCGTTATTCATTTTTTTTTAATTTTTAGTCGTCGCGCCGGTAGGCATTTTCTTAAAGTCGACTGTCTCAGGTACTATTTCTGTTGGATACTTGAAATTTTAGCCAGAAGTAGTAGATGGGATGTACTTTTAAAAACATTTACAGTTTTCTGCAACAAAATATGTCGTTTAAAAAGTTTAAATTTTTTTAATGATAAGGTACATACTAACTAAAAACAATTTTTATTAAAAGCACATGGTTTAAAAAAATCATTTTATCAAATGTTCAAAATGCCCCCCCTTTAGCTTCTAAACATTTTAACAATCTTTTTTCAACATGATTAGTTGTTGCTTTACGAATCATTTCACCATCTAACTCGTTAAAGGCATTCCGAACTCTTTGCTCTAATTCTTCTTTAGTATTAATTTGGGTAGAGTACACTAAATTTTTAATATGACCCCATAAAAAAAATCAACAGGAGTTAGATCTGGCGATCTTGCAGGCCAAAGCCAAGGACCATTTGGACCTATCCATCGGTCTTCAAAGAGTGCTGTAATTTCTTGATTTACATAGTATGTTGAATGTGCTGGGGCACCATCCAACTGGTACCAAAAATTATTATTTGGTAGCTGGTTTAAAATGTCGGCAACTACTTCTCTAAGAATTCTAATGTATCTTTCTGAGGTCAGTCTTTCATTATAAATGTAATAAAAAGCTCTTCCAAAACCGATCACTGCAAACACATTAAAACTAAATTCGTACTGAAATTGTGCATCACGATAAAAATGTGGATTTTCGTTTGCCCAGAAATGACATTGCTTGCGATTGATGATCCATTTACGTGTAAATTTCGACTCGTCTGACCACAAAATTTTGTTTAAAATCTCGGGATCTTCTTGAATTCGTACCAATAACCATTCGCATAATTCAGTTCGTCTTATTTGATCACCATCTCGCAACTCATGAACTTTTCTACGCATTAAAATACCCTAATACGTTAATTAGATTAACTTCTTCATCTCGGACATAATGTTGACGGTTTCTTCCCGGGTTTTGTTTAAAATTATTCAAAAAGTTTGCTTCGATTCTATCAAATTTCTGTCTGTTCATTGGTGGTAAATGAGGGTATCGTTCATTAAACATGCGGCAGGTTCTACTTTTGATTCGATTACATTCTCCATGAATGTAAAATAAATTAAGAATATCTTGGTTGGTATATTCTTCAATATTTTCCATATTTTGAACGCAAAAAATACACAACTTAAATACATAGAAATATGACAATTCAGTTTGTTGACAGATTGTTGTTTAGCATATTTCCACGGCATACTAAGATAAAAAATGAAAATGTAAAACCATACTATATTATGTAGGTGCATGCGTAAAATTTAAATTTAAATTTTCTTAAAATTGGCGAGAGATAATTATAGGGAATTAATAGTGCAAATAAAGATCAATGAAAAATAATTTTCTGAACAAAATGAAATAAAAATATACAGGATTTTCCATTTAAAATAAAAAAATTTTCATGTTTAAAATATTTATTTTTTAAAATAATTTCCAAACACACAGTCGAACAAACGATGTACAAGTAAATTTAAAAAAGCAAATGTCTGCCGACATATAAAAGTTTATAAAAAACTGAATAACGCCAAATACACTATAATTAGAATAGGCGAATGGGGTATCATTGTTTACAGAATTTCATGCTGAATCTAAAATTTAAAAAATATATAGGGTGTTCAATTTAAAATAAAAAAGTTTTTTATGTTTAAAAAATTTCATACAACAAATAATGAATAACTAAATATTCTCAAGAAGTACATCCCATCTACTACCTCTGGTTAAAATTTTAAGTATCTGATAGATATAGTACCTGAGATAGACGACTTTAAGAAAATGTCTACCGACGACTAAAAATGTAGAAAAAAATTGAATAACGCCAAATCCGCTATGACTAGAATAGGCAAATGGGGTATCGTTGTTTACAGAATTTCATGCTGAATCTAAAATTAAAAAAAAATATGGGGTATTCCCTTTAAAATAACGAAGTTAGTGGTCACTTCCGGTATAACCGGAAGTTGCACAGAGTTCATTTTATTTTAATTCAAAAGAGCATAAAAATGTGACAAGTTTTGCAAGATCACCTAGGTGCAGGTAAGTCTTTGTGGGTCATATTGCTCTAAAATATTTCCCAATAAACTCTTATTTGTAGAGGTGCCGAGATACCCATTTACTGTTAGAGACATGGGAGAGGCTGTCAGATCAAACTTAAATATTTCGGCATAATTACCTAATGCTTCTGTCCATATCCTTTGCTAATAAAATATTGTGAAGAAACTGTTGACCATGCAAGGATTAAGAAGTCATATTTTGATATCATTTGTGTCTTTGCTTCTTGCAATAACAAATCCGTAATTAAAATGTTTAACGAAAACTTACCCAACTCACCCAAATATATTCAGGCATTCAGCTATAATTGGACGAATGTAGATGTAATAAAAACCTAAAAATTGTCTATATTTCTTCCCAATTTATTAGGAACTTTAATATGTAACACACTTATTAATTTTTTAGTAAAAACAGACAATATGACACTTTGTCCATTGGCACCTAACGAAAAGTTTTATAATAAAAAAAATGAAAAAAATTTGAGCATATCAATAATGTGATGCATCAGCCGACACGTAGAGAGAAACAGAACTATACTACGTTTTTCATTAGGGCCTTCCTTTTTGTTAAATGATAAAATTATATTTAAAAAAATGACTTTTTAAACAAATTTTTGAAGGGCTGAAATTTTTTTTAAATAAGTATAAAAAATTACTCCTTACAAAGATTTTAATGTGCATTGAACCAAAAATTAAATATTTTTTTTTATTCGGCGGTATCAATATCTGGATTTATGATGATAGTGCCCTTCTGCACAGTCTAATTTTGTGTTACCTCCGGAATAAGGGTTACCTTATCATGACCTTTTATCTCTGAAAAATTCAGCTTGTGACATAGGGGGGGTAAATCGTTTTCTAGAGCGAATATTTTAATATATACACTCTACTAATCATAATTGATTAAGAGTAGAAAAGCGCCCATAGTTTAGCAATACATTCCCTTCTATATCACATAATAATATGTCCTCGATACAAAAAGTCAAAGTAACAAAAACAGGAGGCCAATGTAAACAAACAATAAACGGTCTCATGACATTTTATATTTTTAAATAAACTAGGTTTTTAAAAAATATTTTCTATACCTGTTATTTTTTATATTCAAGCGGATTTATAATATTTAAACTTGGAGTAGCCATAGTTAAATGAAAAGGTACCTTTGGTTTTATAATATGTAGCGATCAGATATAATGTTTCAGCATGTTATTATTTATATTTTAACAAAAATTATTTTTATTGTTTGAATAATCTGTTATAATGAGGTACAACTTCTAGAACAAATTCATAAAAAACCCGTACTGTTAAACTCACCATTTATTTGGCATTCTGTCTCGTACTTCCATGTCTCTATTAGCTCTGCTGTCAACTAGTTCTGGCAAGGCATATTGCATATAATCATTTTGAATTTTATTTTGCAACTTTTCTTTCTGGAACCACTTTTCAATTTAGTTTTTTATAAAAAAAATTGAGAAAATAAAAAAAGTCGAGTGTTGTGTTGTGTTTTTTTTTTTTTGTTTTTTTTTTTTTTAGAAAAAACAAATTGAAATTTTGAAAAAGTGTTTCCAGAGGACACAGATTTAACCTTTACCTACACGCACATATTTTTTTCTTTTAAAATATGTCAAAAATAAACTTTAAAAGTGGGGTACTACGAAACCCTTGCATGCTCTGCTCTAAAGACAAGTAAATACTCCTCTTAAGGTATACAGAAAACGCAGATAAATTGATGAAAAGCTATGATAAAAATTAAGAATATTAAATAGGGAAGATCCTGAAATAAGTTCTAACCAATTTTCTATTTTTTATGTTTATTAATGATTTTAAAACGCTTAAACAAAGGTAATTCAAATAGGTTGAGCTACTTTATGATGATGACGATGACATTTCTTTAATAAAAACTAAAATATATTTGTACTCACTAGCATTTAAAATCGGTGAAGCTGTGGATACAGCTACGACTACAAATAAGTAACACAAACCTAGAATCTTCATAGTGATAATCAAATTAGAACTATCAATACATTCTGGTTAGGTTTTTGCTATTTATATACATATTTAGTAAAATAATCAATTTGATTCATCTATCATTCAAGTGTAGTACATCTAATATCCAAATGTATACGTCAATCGTTTTTTTTTCTGTATTTTGAACTGGAAAATTCCTTATCTATTAAATTTGTAGAAACTTTTTTAAATGCTTGAGATAGTATTCAAAAACAATACAGGTACATTATAAAAGGGGGAACAATAGTACAAATATATACAACGTATTCCATTCTGGTGAGCATATTTTAAGAACTGGTTTATTTGAGTTTATACTGCTTTTAAAGTTACCTTATAGATATACTGTGGGCACTTAAAAGCTTTTTAGCATTTAATACTGGTTTTAAAGTATCTAATAAGATTCGCTAATAAGCATAATTAATCTTAAACGTTTTGTTGTAATTTTAAAATGGTTTAGTTTAAATTACTTCAAAACTACTTAGTTTTATGAAGGACTTGCAGGTTGTTTGGTTTTATTACGTTCTAGATTGTGACTTTACAGTGTTTAAGTAGTTTTAAAAAGATTCTTAATGTAACTAATAAAACCTATTATTAAATCCATTATTTATCCATCAATCAAATATGGCACAGTATCTATATGAAATACATACATTAGAACAGTGGTCGCCAACCTCTCAATGTGTTAAGCTACTTTGTTAATTTTGGAATAAACAGCGAGCTACCCACACGGAAGCCACGTAACGCAACGTAAATGAAATAATCCACAGTTAATTTTTCATTATATGTATTTATTTTACTATTTAACTGATAATACATAATACATAGGTACTAATTATAAATTAATAACAAAATAACTAATATTACTAGTACGTATAGCTACATTCATACCTACCAAACGAAGGTGTTTGAAAAATGAACACAAACTTTTATCCAGTCACAACGGCATGTCACGTAAGATTTAAAAATAGTTAATAATAACAACAAAAAAGTAACGCACTATCATGAACATAAACAATGAAAAATAAAAAAGCACGTTCAATGAGAAGGCTGACACTCAGACTCATCGATAATTTTTTTAATGTTTGCAGTATAATTTGATACAATCATTCGAATACAATTATCCAAATGTTCATCTGTAAGTCGATTGCGATATTTGTTCTTAATAAACTTCATATTGGAAAAAGAAGATTCACACCAATAGGTTGAACTGAATAATGCTTTCACTTTCAAGGCAACACGGCATAGAACTGAATATTTGTCTTTACTTACAATAGGCCAGATACATTGGGTACTTGAGACTAACGATTTTAAGGCTAAATCATTTTGAAACTCAATTACTTCCATTTCTGTTGCAGCGATGTCTTCGCCAAAGTTCTGCATAACACAAGTTGCAAACTTTTGGACATCAATTTCCATAAAGGGTGAAACAACAAACTGCGCTACCAAAGCCATTTCGTTGAAATCTTTAAAACGATTTTTGAAGTTATTCTTCAGGGTAGAAACTATTTCTACATGATATTTGCTGTCATAGGGTTCTAATGGATTTTGAGATATTTTTTCTGAAAGAATAGGAAAATGCTTGGCATCGCTGTTAATTAGGTTTTGTTCCCAAAACTCTAGCTTTTTGATAAATGCTTTTATATCAGAAATCATTTCCGCCAGTTCTTTGTCTCTCCCCTGAAGCTGCAAATTAAGTTTGTTTAATTTCTCTGTAATGTCCACGAGAAAACCAAAATCTCTAAGCCAGATTGAATTTTCTAGTTCCGGAGTCGGTTCATCGCGTTGTTTAAAAAATTGAACTATGCCAGATAGGACATCATTAAAACGTTTCAGCACCCGTCCTCTACTTAACCATCGGACTTCAGAGTGAAGGAGTAGATCCCCGTATTGACAGTCAACTTTATCGGCCAAGGTTTTGAATAATCTTCTTTGTAACGCTTGAGCTCTAATCTTGTTCACAATTTTTACCACCAGTTTCATAACGTTGTTTAGTTTCAGGAAATTTCCACATAATGCTTGCTGATGGATAATGCAGTGGTAACAGAGAAATTGCGGAAAAGTTTCATCTTTACGACATAACGCCACCAGACCCTTATCACAACCCACCATAGCTGGAGCGCCATCGGTTGTCAAGCCTACCATTTTCGATATTGGAATTTTCTCGGAAGAAATAATATTTTTTAAATGAGAAAACAACTCCTGTCCAGTAGTGTGTCCTTTCAGTGGAATAAACTTCAAAAGATCTTCTTTAATCGTAAAATCTTTAAAAACCATCCTGACGAACACGGCCATCTGGGCAGTGTCAACGACATCTGTTGATTCATCCAGTTGAAGTGAAAAATAAACACAGTTATCTAAGTCAGTTCTTAACTGTGAAAATATCATTGCTCATTACTTCTACACGTCTCATCACTGTATTAGCAGAAAGTTGCATAAATTTTATAGCTGAAACTATCTCGTCTTTATTTCTAAAGTTGCCAAATAACGAATCAGCAACTTCTAAAAACGCCTGTTTTATCATTTCCCCGTCTTCATAAGGTTTCTTTTTTTGTGCAATTATCTGGGACACACGGTACGATGCTTCAGTTGCAGCCTTATTTTTGTCGACTGTTCTTAAAAATATTGATTGTTGTCCAATTAACTGCTTTTTTAACTGTTTCAGTTTCTCCTTTCTGGCGGCAGAATGTAGTGGGAATGATTTTTTAAAATTAGAATGTACAGTTTTATGATGTCTCTCAATATTTCCTTTTTTAGCAACGGAGACCGAAGTATTACATAACAAACAAACATTTTTATCTTTAATTTCTGTAAAAAAGTATTGTTATTCCCATTCCGAATGAAAGTGGTATGTCTTTACCTTCTTACAACTGCTTGCCATATTATTTTTTGTTGTTCTGTACTAACCCAACCGCTGGACGTTGGTTACGCGTTCAGTTTTAAACTAAGCGCAATGTCGCCGCGCCGTGCGTATTTATCCCGTTCAAAGCAATCCTGATCGTTCTCGAACACTAACGCGCTGGTCCGGCTAGTCGGTTCTAGCCGATTCTAGCTTGAGAGCGTCAGCGGTAGATCGCTCACCGCACGTTGCCGCTGTTTATGTTTAATATTATGACAATTAGATTTTTTTGTGGAATTTTCGGAAGCTTCTCTGATTTTTGCAGTTTGTATTTTTTAAATTAAAATCGTTGTGAGAGCTACCAGAATTGCCTCCGCGAGCTACCGGTAGCTCGCGATCGACAGGTTGGCTACCACTACATTAGAACAACAAAAAAGAATATCTAACACATTAAGGATTTTGATTATTTATTATTTTTTTAATCTTATACATGTAATATTCAATTCAATTTACCTAACTAATTTATTCATTTTATTCTTAATCATAACATTTAAATCCGTTTGGAGAGAAGTTACAAGAATTGCTTTTAGTAGCACCGCTGAGATTGATTCCATTCCAATTCCAATTATTGCATCCTCCAGCTCCACAAAGAATATATACTCTTTGGGAATAAGGACCACCCAAAGTACCAGAAATGCCCTGCATAGTGAGCTGCTTGATTTTGATATTGCCTAATGGTTTGTGTGTGTCGCCATCATTTGTGTAGTCTTGTTGTACGTTGATTCCGTAAAATGAAATACCTACAAATCGTTTTCAAGCATTAATTTTTATTTGGATTTAGGTTAGATTATTTATTAAGTTAATATGAACTACTTCTAAAATAACAAGGCTCTCAAATACTGATTCTGTAAGGAAAGTTAATGGATAAACTAACAAATGTTAAACAATGACAATGCAAGAAACTAAAAATTAACATTAAAACACAAAAAGGAAGTATTCAAAATTAACAAGGAATAAAGAATAAATTATGGGTGTAGAGTTAAACAAAAAAAAATGAGATTAGATACAACATCAGAAAGTATCAAAATAGGAAAACATGAATTTGAAATAGTATAAAAACTATTCACTACAAATAAAACCTTCCACACAAATAAAAAAATATTTAAAAACGAATTACATAGAACACGAGAATGAAGGAAACATAATAATCAGACGCAGCAGAAAAAATAAGAATTACTAAGAATAAGGGGAAGAATTATGGAAAGATACAATTATAGAGCAATAAAGGGACCAATTTAAATCACAAAAGAAAAATACAGAATTAGAATAAATGAAGGAATTAAACAAAAGTTAAAAGGTATAACAAAAATTAAGCAATCTACGGTTAGATAGTTGGATACTTTTGAAATGTAGACATTTGGTTTATTCAATATTACAAAGGGATCCAGGAAGAAGCAGAATAGTTGATGGAAGTGAAACATCTATGCAGAACAGAAGTGAATAATTTGCAAGAAAAAGTACAGGATAGATAAAGGAAAATGGAAGAACATTGTAAAGAGTATTATGTAAAAGATTGGTATATTTAAATATAAACTGTCTTACCTGAAAGTTTTATATTTTTATAAGTAACATCTGAAATCTCCCCCGTCTGAGGACCAGCGATGGTCTTGACATGGATACCAAGTCTTGAATTTTTAACAGCAGAATTTTGGAAAGTAACGTTATGAACAGTATTGAGAGCGTAAGTATTATACACACCAACTGCAATACTTAAACCATGTCCTCCTGTGCATTGCATGTTATCAAAAAGAAGATGTTGACCCTGGTTGACGCAGATGCAGTCATCTTGGTTCCAAACGCTGGTGTCTCTGATAGTTACTCTGTACGATTTTGCAATATCGAAACCATCGGTGTTAGCTCCTCCTTTCTAGATAAGAGCATTAAAAAAATAAGATTTATTAAAAAATCAACTCAAACACAACTCGGTATAATCCTGTCTAATGGACCAAGCTTTTAGAATTATGGAGTAGAAGTTGAAGCATAGGGAAGTCAGTTGAGAGATGACAGCACTAAGGTTGTCCAGTTCCGAAATATAAAAAACAACCTCGTAGAATTAAGAAAAATAAAACTAAGCAATTATAATCTGAAGATGTTACTATAGTCTATTTTTATGTATGAGAGAGTAATAAAACAGCATTTCTAATGCAAAACTTAGTACGGTCATTTTAAATATTTTTACAGAATAATCTAAATATTTCCTAAAATTGTAATTAATGTACCTGAGCTATTACAAGTTTTGAGTCTTTTATTGGTCCTTTATAAATATAAGCTGTACAGAACAATAGAAAAAGGTTTGGACAGGCCAAAAGCCCTGTGTATTAAAGATTACATAGCCGTATCTTAAAATTATTTTCAATGAGTACCTAATTGCCAATTTTGTTTTATTTTAATTCCAAGAATTTCTTACAGTAATCGAATTATAAGTAGATAAATACCGTCCCAACAAATTTCACCGAAAATGCGATTATAGGTTTTCCATTTAGTAAGGAGGTCCAAGTTGTGTATTCTTGACAGTTTACTAAATGTCGTTTAGTTGCAACTTGCAAGGTGCAGTGTGAATTCTAGTGTGATCATGGAAAATTTGGAAGGGCCGCGTAAACGACAAAAAATCGGTCCTTTAACAGTTAATGAAAAAACATTAATATTTAATTGTTTTAAATCATTTACAGACAAACATTTATGTAAAAGTGTTGATGACACAGTGGAATTAGTTAGTAGTACGTTTAGTGTTGAGAAATCTACGATTTACAGAGTTGTTAAAGAAGAGAAATGTGGCGAGTTTCAAACAGCACGTAAAGCTCCAGGAAAACCAAAATTTCAATTAGAAAATCTTTTGAAAGAAAAACTTCGAAGGAAAGTGCATGCGTTCTTCTTTAGAAAAGAATTTCCGACAGTAGACAAAGTTCTTGCCACGGTTCGAGATGATAAGGATTACCCTGAAATGAGTCGAAGCACACTATGGAAACTTTTAAAAGAAATAGGTTTTCTATGGAAAAAGCATTCCAGAAAGTCTATTTTAATAGAAATAAGCGATATTGTAGTATGGAGAAGAAATTATCTAAGGACTATAAAAAGAAATGAGAAACCAAAGAAGAAATATATTTTATTTAGATGAAACATGGATCAACGAGTGACATAAACCAAATAAATTTTGGCAAGATGAAACTGTTACAAGTCGAAGACAGGCTTTTTAAAATAATTTATCTACTGGTTTAAATCCACCATCAGGAAAGGGGCGCAGACTAATAATAGTACACATCGGTAGTTTAAACGGTTTTGTTAAAGGTGGTTTAGTGACTTTTGAATCTACTCGTATTGGTGACTACCATGAGGACATGAATGCTGATGTCTTTAAAGAGTAGTTCGAACAAATTATAGATTTTCTTCCTCAGAACTGTATAATAGTAATGGATAATGCAAGTTATCAGTCGAGACTTATAGAAGAAATGCCCACAACCAAGTGGTTAAAAAAAGATTTACAGAATTGGCTAAATTCAAAGACTATTAAGTTCCATCCCGGTTCTATGAGAAAAGAACTATATCATTTGTGTTCCATTCATAAAGAGAAATTCAAAAAATATGAAATTTATGAAATTGCAAAAAATCGTGGGATGACGGTGGTTATATCACCACCATATCATTGCGAAGTAAACCCGATTGAACTGATATGGGCATAGATAAAGGGAGAAGTTTCAAGAAAAAATAATTCTTTCAAAATGAGAGATGTTAAACAGTTGTTTTTGGAGGCTGTAAATAATGTGAAGCCTGAAAACTGGGAAAAGGCAATAAATCATACGATTAAAGAAGAAGAGAAAATGTGGAAGTTGGACAATATTACTGATGAAATGATCGAGCCACTCATTGTAAATATTGGTTGCGACAGTTCATCTTCCGATTTCGATTCTGATTTGGATTTGTAGGTAAGAAGTAGTTTTTATATTAAAATTAATATTTATGAACGTAACGTTGTTTAAAAGTCAAAGTTTAAACCCTTATACCTACATAACCCGTTTGACACAATGTTCTTAATATACCTTGTGGAAAAATAAAACATTTTAAAAAAAATTGCACTTTTTTACTTTCAGCTGTTTAGAAGTTATAAGCAGGTTAATTAGGTGAAAATATAAGTGTATACTAAAAAAATATTTTAAGTGTCTACTAAAAGAAGTGATACGCCTATGGATTACGAACGCTTTATTATTTTAATACTCTCTCATACATAAAAATAGACTATAAACCACTGAAAGTTGTTATATTTGACATTAAACTCCATTATATAACTTTACTTTTGAATAAATTTATTACATACCAAAAGAGGAAATATTTTTGAAAGTCATTTTGAATTTCTTCTTAGAGTTTTTAACAAATTGAAGATTTGTACAAAACGATTGCAAAACTAATTATCTCTAGTGCGGCATCAATTTGAAAGATGCTGTTAATGTACAATGTAAATAGTAAGGGTCCTGATACTGTTCCCTGAGGTAGTCCAAACAATATACGGTAAAAAAATATAGGAGAAAATGGAATAATATCACAAAAGGGTAGCATTGGAAAAACTATAATTTTACAGCTAAATATAAAACGGAAAACAAACTAATAAAATTTATAGAGGTGGAAAATATGTACGAAAATAATAAAAATTAAGTAAGTAAAGAGTATGTACCACATACCAATAAATATAAAATAAAATCGCAACAAAGATTGGCCAAAATAGATAATATTTAATATTGAACAAGTTTTACTTACTGTATCCCCTAATTTAGAATCGATATTCCAGTACTGCAGAGTCAAGTCATGCGAATCAGAGATTCCAATGCAAGTGTGTGGGCAATTTCTAACTTTGATATTTTTGAAGACTGAGCCGCCGGTGGCTTGGATGAGCATGAATTGAGGCTTCTTTTTGTTGCTGTGATCACCATGTCCGTCCCACCATTTCTCTCCTCTTCCGTCCAATAAATGAGCTAAAAATGAACGATAATGAAGCGCATACATGTTAAGCAAGTGTTTAACATGTGAATTATTAACCCCATCAAAATTGGTTACTGCTTTTTATTTTGCTAACATAATTGATCAAAATTGTCTATTGCCGACATTAAGAAATGTTTCTTACTTGATGATCCTTGTACTGTAATGGCGTTTCCAGTGATCCACATCAATGGACCGTCCCACGGTATATAACCGAAATTTATGTTACCGTTAAAGGTTAAAGTGGTACCAGGTTGAAGAGCAAGTTTCAAAGTTTTTCCAGGCAGTACAGAAAAACTGCCTACATAGATGTTTTTACAATTGGCAGTAACTGAAGCTACATCTTCGTATCTATTAATGTTACAACCGCTGTAACTGTCCAAAGCTAAAAAATACAATTATACGACTAATAAGAATCCTTAAATTGACAGAATATGAAATAAATTATATAAAAAGGTTGCTTTTTTGAAAATATTATTTTAAAAAAAATTTAATGATGAAAATTTAGAAAGTTCCAACTGGTATTCTATTTCTTAAGTTTATGCTTCTTTTAATATCGAAATTTCTTGGAAATATTTAAAATAATGCTAATAGATTAAGTCTAGTATTCTCAACGTTATCTCCAACATTAAAAAGTTGGTCTTGAGAGTGTCCTATGAAAGGGTATGATATGAAGTTCTCAAATCTCTTGGGCATAACTCAGTGACCTAAGCAATGCAAATAAAGACTATTGCGCTCTACTCCAGACTCAAAATAAAATAGTTTCGGGATATATTATGACATGCTCATCAATACAGATAGCAGGCAAGCACTACTCACCCTGAACAAACCACGAATTTATTCAGGATTGGTACTAGAATGCTCCAAAGCTTTGGTCGAAGTATGCATCAACAATGTGGTCACCTTAAGATGGATCCAAGATCACATTATAACGAAAGATAACCGTCTTGCTGATTCACTAACCAAGAAAGCAGCCAACCAAATACTTTTTGGACCTGGCCCTTCTATTGAACTGACAATGACAACATCGGTAGTGACAGACCTAATTAAAAAACATTCCATTGTGGAATTCAAGGAAAGATGAGATGAAACCAGAAACTACAGAGTTGCCAGGGATACTTAACTATGAATAGTCAATTACGCCTGATCACAGGCCTGCTGACTGATCATTGCCAAGTACGGAAGCATCTCCATATCATAGGGCTATCAGAATTCGAACTCTTGGCGACGTTGTCAACTACATTAAATCTGTATGTTGGCTCACGATCTAGGAGGTGCCTATCATATTAGGAGGATGCATATGCCTATTGGGGCCTAAGTGCTGTGGGGGTAACCTCCACACGTTACAGATACAGATAGACTCTTGGATAAAACTAGACAATGAAGTAAAAAATAAAGGAGGAAAATTTTGAAATTCAGTTGACAAAATGCTAAATCAACTAGTAATAAAACTTTTATGGTTAGATTAAAAATTAAAGTATTTACTTACTTGAATTAAACACTGGTGAAGCTGTGGAAGCAGCTACAATAATGAAAAGGGAGCATAAACTTATACTGTTCATGGTGGTATCCAAAAAGGAATTATAAATATTGGTAAACTGTTACCATATTTATATGTTTAACAAAATAATCATTTAAATAAGCTCGAGTATTTGGAACATTCTATCTATGACATTTTGATGTTAATTTGTATATCTTACCCAAAATCTCTAGTGAAGGATGTTAAAAAACAAACAAATAATAAAAATATTCATTTAATTGAAGTGTTTACAAAAATTTATCTGTATTATTTTGACACCAATTCATGCATCTAAAATGTCTGTCTGTTTTTTTATTACTATACAAAGTTTTATTTTTCTCAATTTGAGACAATTTTTGTATTAAAACTTTTATTGTTTTTAGTTTTTATTTATTATTGAGGCCTTCTACTTATTGTACTTCGCATTCGAGTCGACAAAAAAGTCTTTTTACAAAAAAAATAGTTTGGTTTTTTGTGCGATTTTTGCAGGTTTGATTTTATTTTTTAATTTCTTCTAACTGAAAACTATTGATTTTCAGAATTTTCGTTTAAACTTTAGTGCTTTGAATATCAATATTTTTAAAATGCAATGCATTTCTTTTAGAGTATTTTATGCACCGCAATGGTATTCATTTCACTACATGAATGGCCTTGGTCTACTGTGAAACTACAGACTTCTTCTTAAATTGTTATCATATCACTCTTAAATGTGACAAACACATTAATAGATTTTGAGTA